TTTTCCATTGTGTTTCGTTTGCTTTATCTTCCTTCCATCAGTCATGAAAATCAACATCACTCAACTCAAGAGGCAGTCTCTGGAAACGAACATTTTTGTCTGCAATTGACTGAAATGTTACGACAATACACAATGATAAGTTGGATAATATACTGGCTATTATTCTGTGATAAATCGGGTGATTCTTTGACAAGCCGAGGCAAGTGGAATTCTAAGTACTTAGAGACTTAGAATCTAGTCATCCATTGTGATATAAGAATGCACTCGATCCAGAAGCGATGGCTCCTCCCATTCAGTATTTTTTAATATGCGTGGAATATCTAACGGTAACTTATTATTATTATTATTATTATTATTATTATTATTATTATTATTATTATTATTATTATTATTATTATTATTATTATTATTATTATTATTATTATTATTATTATTATTATTATTATTATTATTATTATTATTATTATTATTATTATTATTATTATTATTATTATTATTATTATTATTATTATTATTATTATTATTATTATTATTATTATTATTATTATTATTATTATTATTATTATTATTATTATTATTATTATTATTATTATTATTATTATTATTATTATTATTATTATTATTATTATTATTATTATTATTATTATTATTATTATTATTATTATTATTATTATTATTATTATTATTATTATTATTATTATTATTATTATTATTATTATTATTATTATTATTATTATTATTATTATTATTATTATTATTATTATTATTATTATTATTATTATTATTATTATTATTATTATTATTATTATTATTATTATTATTATTATTATTATTATTATTATTATTATTATTATTATTATTATTATTATTATTATTATTATTATTATTATTATTATTATTATTATTATTATTATTATTATTATTATTATTATTATTATTATTATTATTATTATTATTATTATTATTATTATTATTATTATTATTATTATTATTATTATTATTATTATTATTATTATTATTATTATTATTATTATTATTATTATTATTATTATTATTATTATTATTATTATTATTATTATTATTATTATTATTATTATTATTATTATTATTATTATTATTATTATTATTATTATTATTATTATTATTATTATTATTATTATTATTATTATTATTATTATTATTATTATTATTATTATTATTATTATTATTATTATTATTATTATTATTATTATTATTATTATTATTATTATTATTATTATTATTATTATTATTATTATTATTATTATTATTATTATTATTATTATTATTATTATTATTATTATTATTATTATTATTATTATTATTATTATTATTATTATTATTATTATTATTATTATTATTATTATTATTATTATTATTATTATTATTATTATTATTATTATTATTATTATTATTATTATTATTATTATTATTATTATTATTATTATTATTATTATTATTATTATTATTATTATTATTATTATTATTATTATTATTATTATTATTATTATTATTATTATTATTATTATTATTATTATTATTATTATTATTATTATTATTATTATTATTATTATTATTATTATTATTATTATTATTATTATTATTATTATTATTATTATTATTATTATTATTATTATTATTATTATTATTATTATTATTATTATTATTATTATTATTATTATTATTATTATTATTATTATTATTATTATTATTATTATTATTATTATTATTATTATTATTATTATTATTATTATTATTATTATTATTATTATTATTATTATTATTATTATTATTATTATTATTATTATTATTATTACCCGTTTACCTTTATTTGACCAAAGAGCTCGATTTAATCAGACGTTAATATCATACATACCAGCATCCACCATGATCTCAATTTATCAACCGACACGTCGATCCACTTACACGTTAGTCTCTGGAAGGCATTATTGTTATTTTTGTTGTGATAAGTAGCAGTCCTCGAACTCTCTTCTAAGATAATCCTTTCACCAGCGTTTCGTGATTGTTAACCCACGCACTCAATTACATCATATTATCCAAGTCTTTATCCCAGCATTCCTCACCAGGCCACGTTTCCTCCCGCGGGTTCCACAGCTGATTGTTACGTCATTCCCGCTTCGTCTCCGAGTTTCCCCTACAGTCCACGCGTCTTTTCCTCAGACCTTAGAGTATGTTGATTTCTTGTATTGTTCTCCTTATTACTATGTTTTTACCGTTAGTATTATTTTTATTCTTGGTTTTATCTTTTTGCGGTTGTAAGTGTCAGTAATTGCTAATGATTGTATAAGAGTGGTGCATGGAAAGGCTAGTTTGAACATATCCTTTTAACTTTCTTTGTTAACACACACACACACACCCACACCCATACACACACACACACACTCACACACACACACACACACACACACACGCAAACACACACACACACGCAAACACACACACACACGCAAACACACACACA